ACACACACACACACACACACACACACACACACACACACATACACACACACACACACACATACACACACACACACTCACACACACACACATTTACGAATATGATTTATTGTATACGGAAAATACGTCATTCGGTCGAAGAAAAGAAGACTAGCTCAGCACGTGCTAAACGAAGCACATGCTCGCTAATGGTCCGCAATAAACTCCTTAAAAACTGTTCGACAGGTATAAAAAACGTTCTCGGTGCTTTTTTTAAAAACGATATTTGTCTTTCTAGTTTCCAGGGAGTTTATATATGCGTATACATATGTATACGTATATATGCGTATGTAAATGTGTATATACCTGCATAAATATGTATGCATGTGTGAATATATATATATATATATATATATATATAACTCATGATGCTTAAAGGTCTGTTTGTCTAACTAAAGTTTTTTTTAAAACATTAATCAGTTTTGTTACTCTTCACATTATGCTGAATCTGTGTAATCGTGATCAGCTGATAGTTCAAAGAACACAAACATTGAGTTCGTCCATGAGTGTAACGCCAAAGCTAAATTAAAGTCTGTCCTAATATTTATTATGATATCATCCACTTCGTTGATTTCCTACACTGTCGATCCCAAGAAAACAGAATACAATTTTTTGCCAACCGCAAACAGTTTATGTTCGCACAAACAGTGTGGTTCTTTTGGCGTAGATCATGTTCCATTCCACATCGTGTGCATATGTGTATATCTGTGATGTTATTATTAGGCGTTGGATTTCACATGGATGGTCTCGAAAAATTCAATAAAGTCGTGTAAGCCGTGAGTGATGTTTGATCCAATCTTTCAAGGTGGTTGGTACCAACCATTCGATCAAGAACGCTCTCTTCGTCAGTTTATCAATTCAATCTTTCCAAATTACCCTAATTCTCTGACGCAAACGCTAGCCACACTTTGTTCTTTGCTCTTGTTTCCCTTTTCGATCTGTTATAGATTCTATCTGCATTATTATATCTGTTCATATATATATATATATATATATATATATATACATATATATCCCACAACTTTTTATATTTTTTCATGAAAGGGTATTATGCGAAACACAACCACAATGATGCTGAGATATTTGCAAAACTCAGACCACAGGCCACCAGATCGGATCCCACGGCTACCCTATCCGTAGGCTCGTGTGTTACCCACTGCACCACTAGGACCCTCATATTGCCTTTCTGTCTTCTATTATATTTTTCGGTCTTGTCGGTTATCATCAGCACTTCAGGCCTTTTCCAATGGTGGTATATGCACCCATGATGGATATTTGAACGTACCCTAGTCGAACCTCACTTTGGTCTATTTTCTTGCAAGAGTAAAGTCACTATCACCATTATTTACGCCGACAGTTCAACAGTTGTAGAGGATATGTTACTTCGAAAGAAAGTTTCGCATCGTATGATGTGATCTTAGTCTTCTTTTTTTCAGATTAAATCAGCGTACTTGTTTCCTACACGGTGCATAAAACATGAGCACTACACCAAGCCAGCTAGGAGCTAATATGCTCAGCGGGCTTTCTACGCAGGTATGCATACACGCATATATATATACATATATATATATATATATATATGTATATAATGTTTATTTCTATCCCACTTTATTGTATATCTTTTTGATTAATGTCCAGTTTCCTACTTTTAGCCGTTATTTCTTACAGGGTTAACCTTGTCTTTAGCACATAATAATTGAAGGATCTATATATCTATATTGGAATAATTCGGTCATTTTCTCGTCAAGCCCGTTAGGAACTGTATGATCAATTTGTCGTTAAGACTTTGTGGTTATTGTTTAAACTCATGATGTTTAGCGGAGGCTACTGGGAATAATTCTTCGTATTCTTGTTGAGCAAATGTGAGGCGTTATTTTTATCATTTATTCACGAATAAGCTGTCGTTTCGGCGGATTTCGCCCTCCTCAGAGCCTGGAAAGGTCAGGTTGACACCAACCTGTTCAGCCAAATACCTCCATAGCCAAACAAAGAAAACACTAAACCAAGATTTCAATCACATTGAACACAGCTTTGCGCACTCACCGCTTCCTGTGAGGCTTTCACAGTATGTCACGTCAAGACCAACCGTATAGAATTCACATGGAAGCATAATGTGCCCTTTCCATCAGAATAACAGTCTCATATACTGCCCAATATCACGCGCGATAATGAGGCATTCTTCCCTGCGGTTCATTTTCGGATTTCTGGAATTAATCCAGATCGCCTCGGGAGTTTTGCGCGGTTGTGTTCTCGATTCTTGTGCGAGGATCGTGACACGTACTTCAAGGTCCTCCCCGTTATGTCTTTGGGTCCTATGCGTGCCTAGTGGGGTATTTGGTTGACGTTCGCCGGCTAGGTGTTTTTTTATGCGTCGTGGGAGTTACTGCAAGATGTACCAGCTAGATACTTCCGACTTGTAAAAGAAGCGCTGTCACTGAGACAAAAGATCGTCTTAGCCCGACAGTCAATACACTTTCTCCGCCGCTGTCTAAAACATCGAGTCGTTCCGAACTTCATCAAATGAAGACGACTACACGACGTATGCGGACTACCAGAGGACAGTCACCGAGTACTGGACATCGAATTGCGAATACTACGCACCTATCTACGAAGCCGACAAAACCAGATGTTCGCCAAGTGGAAGAAGTGCGAGACGAAGGAAAACTTTTCTGCTCAATATTTGGAGGACCGCCTCTGGAGGAGAATAGTGGGCAGGTCGGTGTTGATTTGCAACACTATTAGATCTGATGGTAAAGCAACTTTGCGGAGAAATTTCGAAGACCTTTTGAGTAAATCGCATGACACAACTTTAATAGCACACAGAAATATCGCTAACGAACATGAAACAGGTTACAGTAGGATAAATAATGTGCGAGAAAATTGGAGGTTAACTATGTTAGAAAGCATGACTTTCTTCGTTATTAAAATTTAGACCAAATTTCTCACCATCCGAACCCATTTCTAAGATAACCTTGCGTAGGGTCGCATGTAGTTTACATGAATTTCAAGGTAGACTAAGCAAAAAAGCCAGAGATGAAACACAAAATAGGTGCGAGCAACACCAAGTGGAGGCCCTACCAATTGCACCATTTCCTCAGCTGTTCTTTAGACAACAAGAGCCCAATAATAAAATTGTTGTCAAATTTTGGATCACTATTTTGGATCATGTCCTTAATCACTATCGCGCGAAAAGATACAACTCAAACCTTACTGAAGCGCAGAAACGTGGTATGCGAGAGGTATGAGAGCTGATAAGGTTGAAAAACATAAGGCTATCCGTTAATGATAAAGGTAGAGAGTTTGTCGCAATTTTCCATCAGTTAGATGTGAAGGTAACAAAAAAGTATCTTGAAGATGTTTCACTTTATCGCCCATCATCTGAGAAGGAGTTTAAAAGTAAATACCGAAAATTGAACCACGAATGGGCCAAAATGGCAAGGACTGCTGGTTTAAAACCGTCAGTTATCTCCCAACTAAAAGTTGACTTACCAACATGCCCCGTCTTGTACTTACTTATAAAAACTCATAAGTTAGTATTCAGCGATGATCTTGCGTCTACCGATCCATCACTATTTAAGGTTAGACCTATCATTAGCTGTGTAGACGGGCCAACGGACAGGATAACATGGTTTTTAACCCTAATATTTAACCAGTTGTTGAAACATATTCCAGCCCATCTTACGAATACCCAGATGTTTCTGGATAGCCTACGTACTGCGCAGCACTGCAGCACGTACGTGATGGAGTCCTTCGACGTTACCGCCCTTCATACAAACGTGTCGAATGACTCTGCAATGCAATCCATATTCGAACTCCTTATAAAACACGAAGAAGAAACAAACATGTATGGCTTCATGGTAGAGCAGTTGATGGCACTCTTAAAAGAATGCTTGAGGTGCTCAATCTTCAGATGGTCCGGAAAGTACTACGCTCAAATAAGAGGGTTGGCAATGGGACAACGACTGGCACCAGGTCTTGCCATTGCGTTTGTCTCTAAGGTGGAAGCATCGGTGACCGATCTTGGGCCGCTACTCTACTGTAGATATATAGATGACTGTTTTGTCCTTTGCCGAACACGAGAAAAAGAGGACAAATGTTTAGAGTTGTTGAATGCTCAGTCAGAGTATATCAAGTTCACACGAGAGAAACCGAAAGAAAACTGGCTTCCATTCCTGAACGCCCGAATTAACCTGTCAGACAATGGCTACATTACGAAATGGTACCGAAAGCCAAGTAGTAAAAACATCTTGGTTCATTACTTCTCCTCTCACCCCTCTTACACGAAAAGGGCGATTATAAGAAACATGTTTCGAACAGCAACCAACGTGTGCACGGGAAGAAAGCAGAGAGAGGAGTCCCGGAACTAGGCGCGGCTAATAGCCGTTTATAATGGCTATGAAACTGCAGCTCGGGATAGGTGTAGGGAAAATCCTAGCTTTCCAAATGACAATTCTAGCGATAGAAAGGTCCCGTTTATCCTACCTTTCATCTCAAATGATGTATGTACAGCTATAAAGCGCTGCTTAACAAGGGCGAATCTAGAGAAATCGGTAAACCTAGTTGAAATGCCACCGAGTAATCTTAGGCGCCAGCTAGTTCCTAACCACCTATATGACCGTCTATGTGTCACGCAAAATTGCATAATGTGCCCCAATGGTCGAGACGGTGATTGCATGAGCTCGGGTATAGTTTATCTGATCTTCTGTAAGGTGTGCGGGGATGAATACATTGGCGAAACGGGCAGACCCCTCTGTGTTAGCGTAAAAGAACACCTAGCCGGCAAACGTCAACCAAATACCCCACTAGGCACGCATAAGAAGCATACATAACAGCGAAGACTTTGAAGTACGTGTCACGATCTTCGTACAAGAATTGAGAACACAAGCGCGCAAAACTCTCGAGGCGTTCTGGATTAATTCCAGAAATCCGAAAATGAGTCGCAGGGTAGAATGCCTTATTAGCACGCGTGGTATTGGGAAGTATATAAGACTGTTATTCTGATGGGAGGAGCACATTACGCTTCCATGTGAATTCTGTATGGTTGGTCTTCACGCAACATACTCAGTGGAATCCTCATAGAAAGCGGTGAGTGTGCAAAGACTCTGTGTTCAATATGATTGAAATCTTGGTTTAGCGTTTTCTTTGTTTGGCTATGGAAGTGTTTGGCCAAGTAGGTTGCTGTCAACTTCACCTTTCCAGGCTCTGAGGAAGGGAAAATCCACCGAAACGTCAGCTTATTCGTGAATAAATAATGGAAGTAACACCTCACGTTTGCTCAGCAAGAATACGAAGAACCATTCGATCAATGCCGAGTTTAATAGAAAGTCGATGGTGGGAGCTACTGGGAGTTATATCGCACAACTTTAGAGAAATCCAGTTCTCGACAGCGTTATTACTCAGCAACTCTTTCGTCTGATTTGGAAGAGTCTTTCAGGTCTCCTGTGAAAATCCATCGCCGAAATCACTTATAAAACCTCGTTGCAGAGCCATTTTGCTAAAATAATGTTTAGTTGAGGGATGAAGCCGTAAAAGTTCGAGTACGATGATATTTACCTAACTATTACAAGAATCACATTGTTTTAACCTTTATTAGCTGCCTATGATTTTTTTCATGGAAAAAGGATGAAGCTCTCGGCGTTTGATCATTCGATGAGGGATGCGAAATGTATTCGACTTCATTAAGCATTGTTAGAGGTTACTGAATACATATTTCACCATTACTTGACTCGCAGTGACCTACTGATGCATCGAGTCATTGCTTCGATCCTCCCAGACAACTTCGGTACCAATTCGCCGACTCCAGTGAGATGGAAGGCTTGGCGAGCCTTGGTGGGGTCTCGAACTCGTGTGTATTGCAGAACACCTCTGACCACTGCGCTACACGCCTTCCCTCCTGAAAAGTATGATGTGAACTTGCGACACCCAGGACGCTTAGATAGGGGCAAAACTCGAAACCTCAGTTGAGCTTCGAGCCGCGATTATCCTTTTCGGGGTCTCACGTGGTATACACCACAGCAGCCGAGGCTTTTACTTTGCCTTTCCTCATTCATATCATTCTATCAGAAATCACTTGTGAAGTAGAATGACCTATAGTGATAGTGTGCTGCAGACTACACCATTCATAAGTCAAAAGGAAGAATGTTATCAGCCTTTACAACTGTAAATGGCTTGTCGGTGAAGGCGTCATCGTCAACATGAGTGTTTACACTGGAATTGATTTCTGAATACCAACTTATCAGCTTTGTGTCATGACTACTTTCAAAAAATGCTGTGAACATTCTCAGACTTTAACCGAAATTGTTTCCTGCTCGTCAGTGGGTAACTAAGGTGAAGACGATATCGAAGCATTTGTTTGACTCTGATGAAATTTCCTGAAAGCTTATGGTCCTTACAAAGCGTGAAACGCGATTGCTTCCCTGGTCGGAACGTTACACTTCTTTTTGGACCAGAGGACTCTCTAGGATTAACGCAGCTTCCACTGGTCATCGCAATCCGGCACCCAGGTACACCCTCGTCCAAGAAGGTAGGAAGGCAATAAAGGGTTATCCAGAAATGAGCAGTCGGAAAGGTCTGATCTTGTTACACGACAACGCGCGAAACCATGTTGCCCAACTAATTTAGTAAAAGTTGAGTGAGTTGGACTACGAAGTCGCGCCTTCCTCATTGTGCTAGTCAGACCACCTGCTAACCAAAACCATCTTCGTCAAGCATTTCGGCGACTGATAACTGAGAATTTCTTCAACAACTAAATTGCTTCAAAGTTTTCTTTGAAAAAATTTGCTGCTTCCAGTTGTTCAGAGTTTAATTTTACCGGAATAAGTAACGCTTTACTTGTTGCAGGAAAATATAGATTCAAGCCGTTCTTATTTTGACTTGTAAGGCTGTTTTCGATCCTATTATTGTCTTTAAATCTTTGGTCCAAAGCCACAGTTAATTTTGGACTCAGTTGATAATTTATTAAAATGGAATGTGGGAGCTATTTTGGAGTTTGTAACCGCCTTTTCCTTTTCATATATAAATATATATGTATATATACATATATATATGCATATAAGCACACATACATATATGCATATATATGTATACTATATATATATGTATATATACATATATATGTATATGCTTATGTACGCGAAAGCGGCTTTGTTTCTGTGTGCAACTGTTATCTGTCTATATACGTATTTTTATGCCTACGTAACATAAGTATATAACGAAAGATGTTTACTCTGCTTCTCTGTACTGAATAATTGCTGCATTTTACCAAAAATCGACTTATGAGTGTCGAATGTGTAACTTGCAAAGTCTGACCTTTTAATGTATTAGCCAAATTCCTTCTATATCTATCCATACATATTTATTACTGAACTTGTTTTTAACGTCATGAAAGATTAAGTTCCTTATTCGTCGTCCATTGTTTGGGTCGCTGAAGTCTAATTTCCTTTTTCAATAAAAGATGATTTCATTATAGCAATTGGCTGCATTAACTGGAGTGCTTGGTGGACAACACGGTTTCAACCAAGCACAATTGGCTGCTCTCACAGTGCCTGGTAGGTTTAGTCCTTCATTGTTGATTGAAAACCAAAATTTACTCTGGGACTGAGTATACAAGGAACACACACACACACATACACACACACACACACTTGCACACAGACACCTTACACACAAACACAAATACTTACATATACACACATTCACTTGCACACAGACACACACAGGCACACTTACACACACATACACACTTACACACACATATATATACTTGTACACATACACAAGCACACACATAAGCACGTGGACACACACTTACACACACATCATACACACACATACTTACACACACACTTAAACACACACAAATATATATACTTACACACAAGCAAACACAGACATACACACACTTACACACACGTACACACATACACACATACACTTGCACACACACACACACACACACACGTACACTTACACACACACATACAAGCGCAAACACAAGCACACACCCGCACTCACATACACATACACACACACACGTATATACATGTGTATATGATGCCAGAAACACAGTATATGTATGTATATGATACATATGTATTTCTTTATATATACATATATATAGAGAGGAAAGCAGAGAGAAACAAAGGGAGATGGAGAGAAAATTGACGAGGAAACTTCCAGTGTTAATTAATATACCTTTTTGAGGTGCACGGTGTATTTGAGTCGAGTATCCCTTTGGCGAACATGCGCATTGTTGTTTTCAATGCAAGCGGTGCAAAAATGTTTGCCGTCAACTTTAAGCGAGAACATCTTCCTTCATTGTGTACTGTGTAGTTGAAATAAAAATGATTGGAATCTACAGTTTTTTCGCCAACATTTATTGCTGTTTCTAATTCACGATGAAATTTCGATTTTCTGGTGCTCACGGGACGTATTTTTCCCTTTTTTTTTGTCTAGCTAATATTTTGGTCACCAGGACGATTGATCAAGGAAGATTTCGTTCAGAAGAACCTGTTAGTGCTTCTCAATCTATCATTCGTACTTGGAACTGCACACCTTGTCTTGAGGGACCTGAGAAACTATGTGTCGTTTTTAACTAAATGTTTTGATAATTTTAGCTCTAAACAAAGCTAAAATTAAACGAACATCGTCTGGAAATTATATTATTTTTTTACGTTGTTGGAGCATAGTTTCATCTGTTATTTACGTGAACTTGTCGAGCCCTACTCTACCAATATATGAAGATTATCGTCACTTGACGAAGCATTATCATTGAGCATCTTGTGGTTGACTTACTGCGCATTTTTTCCACATGATAGTTAGCGTGACTAAAATGTAAATAAAATAATATATTCTAGTAGGCAAGTTTGGTACCAATTTGCCAATAACGGAGTGATGGGAGGCTTAGTGATGCCTGTCCGCCTGATCGTTTAAACCAGCAAATGTGTGCATTACATCGCAGGGCTCCACCCACCACTGCTACATACATGCCCTTTATATATATATATATATATATATATATATATATATATATATGTATATTTATATTTATATATGTGAGTTATTGTTGTAGGGTTTGATGGACTATGAATAGACTTATGGCAGTTGTGAAGTGTATCCTCTAAACAACTTACCCTGCTGGGCATATTTCTCGAACCTTCTTCCTAATGTGGAATTAGAAGTAATAATTTTATTCTTCCAAATGTTATTGCAAACAAATGTATTAGGTTTATAGGTTTGAGTTACTATAAGTGTGATTAGAACCATCTCAGGAGGTGTCGGCATTGCGAATACGCTCAGCGGCGGAATTGTCACTGTCTCTCAACAGCAAGTGTGCACACCAGTGCAGCCAGCCGTAGCCGCTGAAGGCAAAGTGAATAAAACCTTTTCGAAGTTTTTCATCGAGATATTCGTTTTGAATTAAAGGGTCAAGTAATACAGTGACTTAAACATTACAAAAAACCGTAGTGATACAGAGTCGCCATCTCCGGACATGCCAAAATTTCGTCAAAAATTCTGGGCCTTCCTGCTTCTAGTTTTATCTTGTACTGTAGCTGGTCTTCCTGCATGCTACAAACCACATCGTTTTCTCGCTTTTAACTGATTAGGTCATTCTTTTTGAAAGTGAATTCTTTTAGACGGTGTTTGATGAACGTGAACGGATTAAAGTGAAACAATTAAACTTTGCAAAATTGTTACTTCTTTAACAGTGAAGCTTAATTCTATTTCCAGAACAGCATTAATGCGGCACCGCAGAACGGTAGCGGATCGACTGCGGATATTGCAATCCCTTCACTTCCCTGGCCCATAGTCTCACCAATGATGAGCATTCCATATTTTGATCTCGCTTCTTATCGACTGGTGGACCTTGATGTCGCTCCTAGTCGTGATGCCAATGGGTTCGATCTTCCACTCGCCGACGTTACAACCCTCCGGTGAGACCTCTGATGTTAAAAAGCAAGGTGTTGACGTACATAATGACTAATGGCGATTAACTTTTTATTTTGCTGCATATCCGTGTAAATATCGTAGCATTTATGATTTAGCTATTACAACTTGTCTAAATGTGGAGATGATGTAAAGTGGTTGTAAGCTTCCAATATGAAGCTGGCAACCGGTATCTATAGGAAAATTTGTGGATTAGTGACGTAATTCGGTTTGACGGTTTCCGCAAAGAGGAAGACTGTCTTGTCATTTCTTTTATAATTATCTATTGAACCGCTCAGCTGCTTGAATTAAGGTTTCAGAATAAACGAGTATGACACAACTTATTGCTTCAAATTTTTTTCCAACACATTTGAGTGACGAGTTTGTCGCATTTTTTGCGTGTACTACCAAGTACCAGGAGTGCTGTATTATTGGCACTAAAGGTAATTCAAGGCGTTCAAAATCATTGAATAAAGTATGGTAACTTTATAAGATGCTGGAGCAAATTTAAACTACAGGGTATAATCGGGTATTATTTCTCATTTCAGATTTTTTTTTAACCTGGGGGTGCAGCATTCTCGCTCTTTAGCAGCAACCCAGCTTTACCAAGAGAGATTGGCTCATGGCGGTGTGATTCCGACTCTGTCAACAAGTGTCAGTCAGACTCCGCAAACAAGTCTTCCCACAGTCCCTCAGCTTGGGGGAGTGAACATCGTATGTTGTGCACTTTTTCTTGAAATAAACCTAGAAATATGAAATTCCAAGTGGAACCCAGATATTAGCCAGCATAACAACTTTAATTTTTAAGCCTAATTTCTTGTTGCATCCACCCAGCGGATCTATACTAAGCAGATCATGATTGGTTGGTTAAAACTAATTGGTTGATTTAGTTATCGGATTAAATAGAACAACCTTAGCGCTAGGTAAGGAAACTATTTTAAGAAATGTAGAAAGTGGTAAAGCTATGTAGTTGAAATCTACGTTTGCCATGAGGAATAGAGTTGCATTTTTGAGTGTACGATAAGACAAGCATTTCCTTGTTTCCTACTTTTTCATGATGAACTTTAGAACGGAGAGCTTCAGAGTTCTTACTATTACTGTGCATTAGGGCTTAGGCAACGATGTGGTCTCAATAGAAGTCGCAGAACACAAAAATATGAACAGTTTCCAATTTTGAACGAATATGTTTTAGCTGGTAGTGAACTCTGGTCGTAACATAAAAAATGTTAGAATCTGCATTTCTTTGCCTACAACATAGAAGTCTTCTCCCTTTACCTTGGCGAAATTCCTGGTTTTCTAGAGCACACGAAACATTTGAACAAACGGGATTTCGTCCTGAAGTACATGATGGTGTTGCCAGGAATCAAACATGGTTGGTTTTTGCGACCAACATCATTGCATGGAAATCTTTAAATCCTTGGGTTTCTTTTCAAATTCCTTGAGGGCTTCAGTTCTGGACAACTTAAAAACTGGAAGAACATTTTGCAAAAATATGTGCACTCTTAATATGATGAAGAGAGCTCATCGTTTTTGTGAGTCTGCTCATTCATTACTCCATTAATGGAGAAACCCTCGTGCGCTTACAAAGGAATTGCTTTCGTCGCGTGGGCGTCACTAATGACTTTTGAAGATTTCGCTACTTTTAGGAATACATGACTATTCTGGGGCTTATAATCGGGTCTCGATTGTTATAAAATTTTGTAGGAGGTCGACAAATGGAACACTGCTTGAAACCAATTATATCGTTGTTGTTTTGTTGTTGTGTCCCACCTGTTAAAGGTCGATGTCCATGTGCTTCCTATAGATCTCGTTCTATTCTTCGAACAAACAAGTGATAACATAGCTGTGTTTGTGCTACACAAAAGAAAGGATCTCTTTAGTTTCTTGGTCCATACCGCTGCTATACATAGCACAATGTCCATCGGTCTTTTTCAAAAAAAAATGTGGATGAATGCACTGAAGGCATACCTTCATGACCTAGTACTGTATATAGTTCAAACACAGATATTCCGACGCGTAGTAAACTTTCTTATTTATTTATTTTTATTTTATTTGATCCGTCTTCACGTTTACTGATCGGATCCTAGCACTTTTCACATTCGATTCGTTTCCTCGTATCCATTATCCACGAAGATCTCCAACTTTTAAGTGTGGCTTCGGCTACTGCTTGAGGATTTCCATTTTATCTTGAATGCCGTAGAATGCTGCTCGAGCAAGTTTCCCTCGAGTTCTGAGATAGATGGATGGGCTGGAGCGTTTCCAGTTGGATTTCAGGGAGTGGTTTTTTCCTGGACAAGTCCGGTACCAATTCCCCGACCTTGGAGCGATGAGAGGCTTGGTTGGCCCAGAGTGGAATCGAAATAGTACTTTAACTTAACGGAACTCTTATTTAAATTGGAAGAAATCCGAACTTCGAATATTTTCGGACTATTATGTTAAAACGCACGTTATATGTATTTATAACCAATAAAGGATGAAGTGTTCGGTCCAGATCAGTCTTTAAGAAATGTGCCATGCCTCCAATTTTTTAATCATCCTGGGGAAGATTGCGTGGATATATTGCTTATACAATGACTTAGGTGAACATCAATATCGGCAAGACAAATCAGTGTTTCTATCCTCTTAGACAAATCTGGTATTCATCACTAGAAATTTGGACATTGGTATGGCTATACAATGGGTAATTGGTTTGCGTTATGTGTGCTTGCTTTTCTGCCTAAAGTTGTCGGTATTTTCAGCTCCCATCACTTGTTAACCTGGGTGGCTCACGCGCAATGGAACCGTATCTTGGCCAGCTCAACATTATGAGTCCACATGCACAGGCATTGCTTAGGTTCTATTTCATTAATTTGTTTATGAAAATTCGTTCTAAATATCAGGTATTATAGGGAAGCATCATCACATCATATGACCCAACAAGCGCAAGCTCTCGCCGCCATTTCTTCTCGGTTACCAGATCGCCATCTGCCTGGCTTCGCTGGCTCTACGGTTCCTGTTGATATTTTTGCGATGGCTGCCCAGCTTCCTATCTCTGTTTCAGTGTCGGCCCCTGCCCCACAGGTGTGGATAATTTCTCAAATGATGCCGTTTTTGCATTAACTATTTTTAAAAATAAGCTTTTACTGTTGTTAATGAGCGCTGAGATCAGTGACAATAATCTATGTCATCAGTCGTAATTGGATGGTTTATGTAACGTACTAGACGATTTTGGACATGTGAATGGCGCTGAATATACAGATGCCCAACTTCATGTGGTCTTGAACGTTAATTGTATGTGTTTAAAGCTACGAACTCAATCAATCAATTGTTCAGATCAACGCTTTCTTTTCTCTGAAACTGCTGAGAGTTCAAACATTATTAAAAAAACAACAAGTGTTGCTCTTGAACAATGTAATAACTTTTATTATAGCTACTTCGGCAGCCGATTCTACCTAATGGAGCTGCTTCTATGTCGTCTAACACTTCCGCATCGCCCTTAAATTCGAAGCAAATGCCACCGAACTCTGCTGCTACAGAACAACAGTCGTACTACTTGCAGCAGGCTCTTTCTGTAGTAGCAAATGGTAAGCGCGAATGCAACCGAAAGTCCTTTTTATTTCAACTATATCAGCTGCTAGAAATTTACTCAGGTTTTCTTGCTAAAATACAACCAATATTTCCATCCTCTATTTCAGTCCAGACTGAGAAAACAGAAACGCGAATGCACATGCTACAACAGCAAGCAGGTGGCCTTGGATTGCATGCCTTTGTCCGGACATCTCCAGAAGAGGTTGATATGCTTCTGAACTAATTGTATCTGCTACGTATATTAGATATACTTGTTTGACAGATTTTGAAACCGGTCGCTCTGGGAGGTGGGAGCAGCGATGCAGCTTTGTCTCCACGACCACCGCCAGTGGATCCAAGTCCTCCACGTATAATAACGGATACTGTTACTAGCATCAGCGAAGGCACTCCTTTCACTGTAGTGCACCAGCAGGTGCGAGATGAGTCACAAGTAATTCCTGTAAGTGGCCGGACCGTTCTTCTAACATTTGTAACAGATCTTTCGATCTTCTTATATCATGCACCCATTTTATTAGAATCTCTCGCCTATGGAATAATTTGGAACACTTTGAGTATCTAACAGCTAACAATTTTTAAACTGAAATCTTGATTTAGGCACAAACATCTCCACCTGCCTCACGTGATCAATGTATGCAAATACTAGAGAAAAACTATATCTCACGAAATAATACCTCTCCGCAAAATCAGCGTGGGCTTGGTTCTACCACGCAGTTGGTATCCAGAATTACACCGCAAGTAAGTTTTGAGCTGGGGCCATAAACTCTGGATTTTCGCATGGATAACAAACAGATTTTTGATGTTATTTTTAATTTTTTTTGAATTCTTGATTTACTCTTTTAATGTAAATATTAATTTAATGGCCGTTTCTAAACAACAACTTATACTACAACTGAGCTTTTGCTCAGTTTTTTTTGTGCTCAGGCAGCAAGTTTATTTAATCCGATTGAATTTTTGAGCGCGAAAAATTCTCAAAAGGCAATTTTGGAGTTTTTAGTGGTTTCTCAAGAGGTTTATATCGCCACTTCTTGAACAAAACATGAGCGTTAAAGTGGTGTATGTCAACAATCCATTTCAAAACTCAAAATTTACCCCGTATGAAGTGCTGAGATATTTGCAAAACTCCGGACCACAGGTGTATGCAGTGGAGAACGAACACACGCTGTTGTCCTTACCGGGGTGCAGCGCACTTCACCACTACACCATCCGGGTCCTTCGCTTTGCATGTATCTCAGCTAGTTCTATCGATCTTTTTGCCATCAGCAATCACCCGTCAACGGGATTGATCTGGGGAACCAATATCGGCATTACTGCCTTTTTCTGAGATACAGATATTTTTCTGAGCTGAGATACATGCAAAGCGGAGGACCCGGATGGTGTAGTGGTGAAGTGCGCTGCACCCCGGTAAGGACAACAGCGCGTGTTCGTTCCCCACTGCATACACCTGTGGTCCGGAGTTTTGCAAATATCTCAGCACTTCATACGAGTTATATTTCACAACATACCCTGCCATTAAGAAGAAAAAGGCAATAAATAAAAGAGTTAAGATCAAAATTTACCTACAAAATCTGTGACGGAAAGAGCCGCCGTCATTTTTGCATCGTCATGGTAATACAAGGCCTTAGTAGAATGTTAGGTATCACTTGGCCGGAGCGCTATTTCTCCACCAGTATATATCATAATCACACGCGATGCTGGATGTTTTGACTTGTCTTTTGAGTTTTGAGAGTGATGTTGTGAAATTAATAAGGTGTTACCGCAAATGATTGCTGTGCGTTTGCTTTTTATTTTCATTTTATCTGATTTCATTCGACTGCAGAGAGCAACTCTTTCCCGGATAAGTCAGGTAGCAATTTTCCGACCCCGGACCGGCCCCATTAAGCGTTTGTTCACCTGTATCACCTGCAGTCCCGTTGATGGTCTAGTGACTCAAGCGGGCCCCAGTAAATCTTTTATTTTTCCCTGTCGCGTGCAAGAGTAGCCCAGTGGGTTCTGCTCGATCTTGGGTCTCGTCGAGCATCATATCTTTCTTCTAGGCTTTTCATGAAAGAATCTGACTATCGAGTCGGTGCCCTTCTTGCAGTGCGTTTAACATTCCAAGGAATCCAGTCTCTAACGGCTCTTATGCATCGGTTGTCATTCACACGCATTACATGTCCGCCCACCTTATTTTCGACTGTTTGGCGTACAGAACGGTATTTTTGATTTCTCATCGTTGACGCACGTCGGAGCTTCATATCCCTTCCCTTACTTGTGTTAAATGGAATGCTTCTAGCATCGTCCTTTCGGCAGCGCGTTCAGTAACGCTGAGTGATTTCTCAATCTATTTACGCAGAGACAAGGTTTCTGACGCACACGTTAGCGCAAGAAATACCGTTGAGTCGAAAATGTGGGCGCGGAGTTGGGTGTTCCTTGCCCTCTTCACTACATCCTCGATGCCCTTGAAAGCTCCCAAAGCGGCTGATTTCTTTCTGCTCAGCTCTGGTGCTAAGTCGTTCAACATGTTGATTTTCCGACCTAGATAGACGTAACTGGAGCATTTGGAGATATTCGTTCCGTTGAGCGTGAATGGGGCATGCGAAACCAATCCTTTCTTCATGAATATCGTTTTTGTGAGATTTAGTCGAAGACCAATCTTTCCGCAAGCTTTATCAAAGTCGTCAAGCATACGTTCCGCTTGGCTAATGTTTGGTGTTATAAGGACGATTTTATCAGCAAACCGAAGATGGTGTAATCACCGACCGTCGATTTTCACTCCCATATTATTGGAGGGTGGCGGTAAATAATTTTGGCAAGATGGTATCGCCTTGCCTAAGTACTGTTTTGACGTCAATGTTAATATCGTTGTGGAATGGTGATACCTTGGTTGTGAAATTTTTGTACAGCTGACGGAGAAACTTTATGTAATGATCAGGGACTCCTTAACTATCAAGGGCTTCCATGACTGCTTCTATCATAGTTGAGTCGAAGGCCATCTTTAAATCTGTGAAAGTAAGACAGAGCGGTCCTTTGTGTCTTCATGATACTTCACTGAGTCTTGTTGTAGTGTGGATGTGGTCCATCGTAAATTCTTTTCGAAACCCTGCTTGCTCACATGGCTGTTTTTCGTCTACTGTTCTGTCAATCCTTTTTAAGATGATTCGAGTGAAAGGTTTCTAGACGACAGGCTGCAAGCAGATTGGGCGATAGTTGCCTATATCGTGTAGGTCACCCTTAAACAATAACATGGCCTTGCTGGTTTTCCAATGAGTAGGGACATTGCCTTCAGACAGGTGACGTGTGAATAGTCGAGCCAGTGTTTATTAGGATTAGAGGAATGTTTTTCAGGTGTTCTGGTTTTATCTTGTCCGGACCTGGTACTGTTCGATTTTTCACCGACGAAATGGCATGTCGGATTTCGGAAGGGAGAAACGGTGGTGCAACACATCCATCCTTCTTTATTTTATATGACCGAAGGTAGACGTGGCTATCGAAGAGATCTGAATTGTATTCGTGAATGATTTTCTCCATTACCTTTCCGGGCACTGTAACTGTCCCGTCTGGACGTCAGAGTGCAGCCATCTTGGTCTTGTAATTGGCGAAGATTCAGTGGGCATTGCGAATGCTCTTCCCATCTTTTGCAGCATAGACCATTACTGCTGCTCTTGCCTCTTTAAAATCTTCTTTTATCGCCTGTCTGCATTGTTTTGCAAGTTTGGACGTCAGTTCGCGGTTGTCTGCAGCTCGTGTGAGATTCCACGCTGGCGTATCAGCTTGAGTGTTTCTGGAGACAATTGTCTCTTGGTGACTTTCGAACTCTCGGCTTTCATAGCCCTAACCTGAAGACGTTGAATGAACCGATCGTATTCTTCATCTATGTTATCGACGACGGCATCTTCCCAACAGCCGCCTAATGAATTGAGTAAGTCCCAGTTTATGGTGGTTTTGGGACTTCGGTTTTTGAATTTAGCGGCTTTTTCTCCTTTCTGCGAAGAATAATATCTTGCACAAAGGAGACGGTGGTCTGATCCCGTGTAGAATTTTGGGACAGCAGCGAAAGCTGTTAGGCAAAACCTTCTATTTACTGTGATGTGGTCTATTTCGTTATGGTACTTTCCATTGGGAGATTTCCACGTCCAGCGTTGTGGGTGGGGCTTCTGGAATTGCGAGTTACCATGTATGGTCTTGGTCGTCATGATAAACTCAGGGAGCCGCTCACCCTGTTCGTTCCACTCTAATCCGTGGGCCCCAATGTGACGTTGTTCAGACGTTCTTCTTGGTCCAATTTTGGCGTTAACATCTCCAATGATAACCTTGAAGAATGTATGGTATATTCTCTGTAGAACTTTTCCCAGTCCATATAGAACGCTTCGACTTCTTCTTCGTCGTAGCTTGATGTCGGCGCGTAAGCGACGAAGACTGTCAAAACTGGTATTGATCCACATCTTTTTAATATAAACGCCCGATTCGGGTTGTTAGTTATTCGAGTGAATCAATGTTCATGGACAAACGCGTTGGCGAGAACGACGATGCCGCCAACTACTCTACTGTCGCATGTTCCGAGGATGAGTTTATCTCCGGTGTCATAGACGGCGTTGAATGGATGGCGTCGTCTAGTGTCGGCAGGTCGATGACTTCGTACCTTACCCTTCTTGCATGCATGAGGGAGTCTTTTATCGAGGACTCGGATGCAAGTGTATGTGCATTGTAGGTATAGATCGTCAACCGAGTTCTATTGTAATCCAGGCTGCTTCCATTGGCCCTGGGATTTTAGCGGCCTCTGCGTACTCATCCTACCTAACGTTGCGAAATCGAGGGCTCTTTCGGGGTCAGATGAATGAGGACCGTTTCTTTTACTGTTTTAGTTTTTTGATACTCACGTATAGCTTGCTGAGATCTGCGCTTTGGGCTGGGTATACTCACGGGTAATTTGGGTAATTTGCCAGGTTCTCCCAGAATGGACATGGAGCTTATTTGTTGGAGGAACTCCTCACCGCCTTCCATGTACTTCCCTGTCATTTCACTGCAGGTTTTTGGCCGAATTGACTCGTAGAGCACAATCTGCATGAACTACAACGCACCCGCACACGCGTGTATTAATACGTTTCGTAAATACAGAAAGTATATGCCAAATCGGTGCAACAGAAACAGGGTGTCCATCCCCTGGATCCACCTGCGTCTCAGGGAAGCAATGGTCGCTTTTGGTCCGCGATTAACCCGCTATCCGCCACATGGGACGCGCGACGTAACCTCGCGACTAGTCGGCTAACGGAAGCCCTCATATGAGGGACATCCGTGGAGTTTTATTATAAGAGGTTCTCTCTATCGGTGGTAATGTTGGTTGAACTTTATTCTTTCCACAGCTTTCAAGTGTCCGGTTGAGATGTTTCGAACGTTACTTCACACCGTGAGCTCGTTTTCACATATCATTGATATGAGAAGCTTGTTTTAGTCATAATAGCTCATGCGGAACCCTCGATTGAATACGTAGAACTCATGCCTAACAAGGATCAAATAGTATCCTATCTCTTTAGAGTAGTGCGCCATCAACTCCTGTCTTGACAGCTGATGATGTGGTACCCGTTTCACAGACATTATTCCAAGTATCAGAGCAGCACTTTACGGAGGCATTTAATGCAAGTCGCAAAAAGAGGTGATCTGTTTCAATGTTTGGACTTGACATAATTGAATGTGTGTGCACCATAGTTTTAGCTCTTAGTATGCTTTTTAAGCATCTCGCATCCAATTGGTATCGCCCGAAAGGACAACATCAATACGCGAGAGGATAGCGGTGCGTTTTCACAGAGTTCCTCGTTGTTGTCTTGTCAAATAATATGATTCATTTAAAGCTTCATACATATCCGTGAGGGCGAAATGAGCACTTAATTCGTAGTCACCAGTACAAGCTTTTCACAATTGTAGGAGCCTCAACATTTAGCATTTAGCAAGTTTTTAGTCTTATTTCAGTAAACGCCGAGTGTTCTTCTATACCCAGGCCTAACCAAGCTATAGATAGGAAAGATCAGGTTGAGAAGCCGGCGGTGAGTATTGCATGAACGTGTTCGTAACGTTTTTTCCTCTATGTCAGTTGTTCACTTTCTTTTAGGCTTATTAGGATGATGTTTTCAGTTGGCACCCATTTTAATGATGACGTATTTGAGCAACTGTATGAACAACATCAAATCCACTCTCAACACAAATGGGCTTCCTGTAGGACTAGATGCCAATGGCCGTGCTGTGAGTGTCTTGTGTTATCCTTGTCTCTTATGCTATAATGGCATTAGAGTAAATGTGTTCAGCTGTTTGTATCTCACGATATTTAAATAAACAAAATAGAAGCGAAATTGTGGAAAATTGGGAGCCCGTGATCCTTCAGTTCTATGTGACAGGCCTAGAGCCACTAGGCGATGACATGTGTTCAATGTAAACTACTTCTGCCTCGTTTCGAGTTGTATCTGTAACATTGCTTATTTGATTTATGAGCAATTTTCTAATTTCTTGAATTAAAGGTGTACCACCTTCGAGTTATTTTGTTAAAATTTATTCAATCTTATAATTTCCCTCCTATGTTGGATATTGTAGCAATTGGTGCGAAATTACTACTAAGTTAGATGCTGATTTCTATTAATCATGTTATATGGTTTATTCTATACCAGATTGTTTGCGAATTTTTACGAAATCGAAAAGCTAATTAATTTTAGGTCGATTATTCTTCTCGTCCAATAGATCCAATTTTTCAACAGGCGCGAGCTCGGATGGAAAATGCTCGTGAGTTTCGAGGAGTCTCACCTCCAAATGCGATCTCTCAGCTGTCTTCCTCTCGTGGCGCAGTTCTTGACGATGGTACAGTTATTTATTTCACAGGTTATTTCGAATTTACCATGGTAATAATGTCACTTTTCCCACTGGTTCGGATTTTCACAATCAGCTTATGGAAATGGATCCAATCTCCTAAATCTCCTTTAACAGGTTTGTCGAGTAAAAACGGAAGTTGCTGTCATTCTGTAAAATTTCTAATATAAAGACAATACCTTTTTGACCATCCAACAGGGCCCATAGATTATCTGTGGCGAAGATCTAGGAAGACCATGACTAGCCGAAATTCCAGCAGAAGAAAAAAGCGCTTGACACTGATTCAACATTTCACTAAGAAAATAAAACAGCAGATTTTCCGACATCAACTCGGTCCACACATGTTTTGTAGAGACTGTTCTCTACGTTGTAGAGAATGTTCCATATTTTATCATTAATCCTCTAAATATAAATGTTTGAAACAAGGCCCGCCTGTCTCCCTCACCTTAGTACTGCTTAACCACAAGGTGCGCAACCGACGAGGCACAGAAGAATCACTTGGTGGCACGATCGCACAGCCTTTGCCATTCGCTTCGCTTTGGAGTTACTTACGCTCTAGCAGTGCCTTTTGTCTTTAGGAGACGCAAAAGAGTACCATTTCCCTTCTTTATTACTTTGTTCCCATTCCTGATCTTCCTCGCCCACTCATTTTTCTACTTGCTCAGACTAGAATAGGGTTAAATAAGGTCCTATGTTCTCGTATTACCGAAGTATTAAAGTTATCGTCAATCGTCATGTAATCACCAAGCGTTGCTAATCTAGAAATACTTCCACTGTCCATGAGTACTGCACTTAAGTCACAGTTATCACATCAACTCTTTCGCATACAATTCCGTTGCACTCAAATCCATGAATATTTTTTGATTCATTTGTCTGATAGGTGAATTATTCAGCTCGCCGAATGAATTTGCCACCCCGCAGAATCTTTTTCTTCGTTGTTAGTATAACGTCACCATCGCTATGAAGTTCTTGCGCAGTGATGACTGAAATACTTGCGCTGTTGTAGTTATACTAATACTATCACTTAAAAATATCTCTATTTACAATTTTGCTCGCTCGTAAACTTATTGCTTAATGCTCTACATTATTGTTAGTGCAATCTTACTTTCCACTAAATCAACTGACGTAATTTACTGTCTATACATAGCAAACGTTATTAGGTGATTATTCTGTAAATGTTGGGTTTAATTATACAAATTTGAGATTGTGAGCTGCGGTTCCAGCAAAGAGTCTCGCGAGCAAGCTGGAAGAAGAGAAGTTATTACCACTCGAACTAACCAATAGAGATACTCATCTATTTCCATTCATGATAGTTGTAGGCCTATGAAATCAATGTAAGAAGTTACAGTAGCCCGTGCTACATAAGGGCGGGTCATCTATTTATCTAAGTAAGAATATATCGAAATGGAACCCTCATAGAAAGGAGGAGCCTGCAGTACAATGTTCTAATACAAGAAAAGCGATCTTTATCATGTCAGAGACTGTCGCGTAATCTACCAGCTATCTGTTGCCTACAAGATATTTAGCAAATACCTTTTTTTGAGGAAATTGGAAAAACACTGAAAGCGAAAAGAAGCCATGTAAGTAAACAAGGTTTCGGTAAGTTTTTAAGGTACGACTTCATAGTTGCAAAAGTTGCTGAAGTATCGTGAGAAACTGTGAAGAAATATATGAGTCAGTACTATGTTTTTAAGTTCGTTGACATAGGCCGTAGTCAATGATATTGAAAGAAGTACAAAAGGCAATACCGTGTCGTCGGAACCATTCAGCCTCAATCTGAACACCATCACATGGAAGCATCAATAGTATAGATGTATAGGGGTGTGGCACAGTGACACATTTCGATATGATGGTGTATATTTTTCGAACGCTTGTCGTTTGCAGTATAGTTGGAGTGAAAGCCAGGACAGGGCCTTGTACTAGGTTGTTCAGAAATAAATAAGCGTTCTGAAATATTTATCGTGTTAATGTATATTTTAGCATTAAGACATTTTTTGTACTTTGCAATTGATTATACTCGTTATAACCATGTCGTTGTGTTTTGTCAGAAGTTAAATTTTCTTTTACTAATTTTAAGCCTTCTGATTTTAGATGTCAAAAAACAACTTTCATCAGATTTTCTTTTATGAGTTCACACTTGGTCTTAGTGCAACAGAGACGGCTCGAAACATTAAAAATTTTGGGGTGAAGGTAGTTCAGGTGAATTAGCAATGCGAACATGGCTCAGTAAATTCCGGTGGGACGATTTTGACCTCGAAGAGTAGGAGTAAGTAAGGCCGCAGACGTCCCAATGAACATGACGACGAAGAATTGGAGGCACTGGTGGAAGCAAACACACGAGCAACTGTTCGAGAGTTTGCAGAACAGCTTGGCGTAAGTACAGGAGCAATTTCCACTCACTCGAATCGCATAGGAAAGACAAAAGAACTCGATAAGTGAGTGCCGCACGAATTAAACGAAAATCACAAAAATCGCTGTTCTGAAGCATCGCCTAATCTTATTACATGCGACGAGAAATGGATTTTGTGTGACAACCGGCGACGTTCAGATCAGTTGTTGGACTCTGATCAGGCTCCACAGCACCCCAAAGTCGAAATTGCACCAAAAAAGGTGATGGTGACTGTTTGGTGGTCTATAGCAGGGCTGATTCATCATGGACTTTCGAATCCGGGCGAAACGATTACGGCAGAGAAGTATTGCCAACAAATCGACGAATTGCACGGTAAACTCTAACAACAACGACCGTCGTTAGTAACTGAAAACGGCCAATCCTTCTCCACGACAACGCCCATCCTCACGTTATGGAACCAGCGCTGGGGAAGTTGAACGAGTTGCGCTACGAAAATTTGCCTTATCCACTATATTCTACAGACCTTTCGCTTACCAATTGTCATTTCGTCAAGCACCTTGACAAATTCCTGGGCTAGAAATGGCTCACCAACCACGATGCCCAAAAAATTCCTTCAACGAATTAATCACTTCCAGAACCCCACAAATTTATGCAACTAAAATATATAAATTTGTTTCTTGTTGAAAAACATGTGTATATTCAAAAGTTCTGTTTGAAGCAAGTTATGACAATTTAGACAGTATTGTTAAAAACGCTCACTCTTTCCCGAACAGCCTAGTACTATGCCACGTTCACTACACCATTTACTTGTACATTGGTGAGGAAACAACATGTACATAGCTGCCAGAGCTGAGCTGAAGGAGACGAGCTATCTGAACATTGTGTATGAGTATCATGGATGGGATGAGATACATATGCCAAGTACCAAGTGCTACACCCGCTTTTTTGATATAATATGTACATATATATTTATTTATTTATATGATTTTACAAACTGGTCTTGTTAAGCTGATGCGAAGCTGGTACAGGTCTTCGTTTTCGTTGTCGTTGTCGTTGATGTTGTTGGTCGATGGTTGACGTTTCGGCGACTTCGCCTTCCTCACAGCCTAGACTTATTTTATATTAGAATATTTTTATTATTCGGTGGAAAAAGGGTAAAGTATTAATGAAGATCAAACTTTTAAATAGATGCCATATTGAACAGAAAGGCCACTTATTGCGATGTTGCGTGTGGGACTGGCCCACACGTAGTTGACGTAGGATCGCGAGCAAGACACACCCCGGGGTCAAAATATCATTTTGAAATAGGGCGCCAGGTCACGTGTGATAGTGAGGCATCCGTAGCATCCGTATTTCTGGTTCATCTCTGGATGTTTGAAATTCGTCCAAAACGCTTTAAGAGTTTTGCGCGTTGATGTTTTTGATTCCTGCGCTAAGATCCGCACAGTCACTTCAAAATCATCGCCGTTGTGCTTTTGTGTCCTATGCGTACCTAGAGAGGTGTTTAAACGGATTTTAGCTTTTCCTTCTAGGTGTTCTTTTATGCGGACACAAAGTGGTCTACCTATTTCCTCAATATTCTTCACCGAATGCGTTACATAGGATCAAGTATATTATACTTGAACTCGTGCAATCCCCGTCTCTCCGCTAGGACAGATCATACAGTGTTCTGAGCTGCACAAACGATCATAGAGACGGTTGCGAACTAACTGACGGCGTAGGGCATTGGGTGGGATATATCAACTATCTATGCTGAGGTTTATAGAAAGTCGGTCTTTCGAGTTATATATATATATATATATATGTATATATATATATATAACATAACTACATATAGAAAAATATATATAACTATAACTATATAACATAGATATAACTATATACAGACAAAGATATAGAGCACCATGTTTTCTGAAAATATGGCTAATTATAAACAAAATATTCCAGAGAAGTCAGATCAAAAACACCTGGAACTTCACGCAATTTTTGATTTCGATCTCAGCACTTCATGGCTAAATTGAAATTATTTCGATATTTTACAGGTCCGAGATTTTCCCCTCTATCACTTGCTCCCAAAATCTCTCCATCTTCCTCTGTCTCTTCAAAGACAAGCACGAATCCACTCGGAATCAATAGGGTAGTCCCAGATGCGATTGACGTGGAACGAATTGAACACGGCGTTGCTGATACAAACTCACCAGTAGGGAAACGCATGCGGGTTGGTTCCGAGGAGAATAGTCACTAATTTATGTTTTTTGTTTTTCTTGTTGTACGTGCACGTGTTCTTACATATTATATCACATACCTTGTTGCCTACAATTTGCTATATTTCGTTAATTTCACGGTATTTCCGTTCTCCTGTGATTTGTTTCACTATAAGGACTTTTTGATTATTACGACACCATTGGCTATTTATTTCTAGAAATTCTTCTAGGTCCTAAAGTAGCTAGGCTGCAGCGTTTGTCCAATCTAGGGTAATCTAAACTTTCGGTATTGCATATGCCTGAAGCACAAGAACTACAAATGAAGCCCTTTGTTTAAACGCCATTAATTTTTAACTTGTACAATACGGCTTCTAATGCGTGGCAGAGAAACGAATTAGCTAGTCAAAGGATGAGTTAACATGTATTCGTATTTACAAAGCAATAGGAATGATTTTGTTGAGCAGCTGTGCCCTACATCTGTGTCTGCCTTATTGGCCACATAAGTGTATGTATGTAATGCTGATTAAAATGTTCTGTGGATAAAAGCATAGAAAACAGAGGTAAATATGTTATAATGTTTTTAAGCCACAAGGCAATAAAGTCGCTTTAATGACTTCGATTACATATTACTTCACATATTAAAGCAGAAAGTAGGAAGAGTTTAAATTTGTGGGAATTTAGAAATATGGGCGATCTGTTCCAAGAATAATCTCGCAGCTGAGTGTATATGACTTAGTAGATTTTATACACCTAATGTTTCTTCCAGAAATCCTTGGACAGCTATGTGGAGCTGGTTTCGCTGACGTGTGAAACCACAGACAATGGTAGTTATGACGTTACTAACCATCTCATGTACAATTTTCTACGATTCTCAATTTTCGTCCTTATAATTTTAAAGAAAACCAAACCTACGTTTTGGGAAGCGAGCGTAGTAGTAGTGCAAACAGCGGAAGCGAATTGCCAGCAAACACTAACAGTAGCTAGGATGGAAAAAAATCCTGGGAAGCGGCCATAACCTTGAAAATGAATAATATTGGACCGGTAAGGAATACACGTACGTGGACAACTATCTATCTCCTCCTAACGGGTCAACTGTCTCATCATGGCTGGAAGGTGTTCCTGGGTGTCGGGTTACGATCTACAGCGGCCGAATTCATTTCCCAGCAGAACCTCCTGGGCTGAGAAGGAGTCCAGCATTTCCATCAGAAAGCGCAGCTAAGACCAAATTATTGCAGGATGCACCACCTTCCTAGAATAAAACTAGTTTCAGGTGGCAAATCTCCCTGTTCTCAAACAAGAGCTGCGACTGCCTATGGTGATGACGACCTGGAGCAGACTTTGACTAGGCTGACGTCTGGACTCTAGAGACCTTATATTAGCTAAACCAGCAAAATTCAAAAGAAGTGAAAATTTTGCTGGCGACCACACAATCAGTGTGAATGGGTTATCCAAGTATCCAAGTAAGGACAACTATCTACCAAATCAAGATATAAGCAAAACTTCGAGGGCGAATTTGTGCTTGCCAGATCATTTCCGTTGATGGTGATTGCTGATAGTAAAGTTAAGGAAACATGAGAGGTGAAGCGTCAATCATAACTTCCATCAGATGTCCTCACACCATGTAACTAGACTGGCAAATTCTCTAGCTGAACTTGGCGCTTGCAACGAAGCCCAGTGGATTTGGCTTGTTCTAGAAACGAGAAGAGCACATTCTCTCGTAAGTCGACGATCTTCGCACTGTGGGCTTGAAATAGTGTAGAGACTGCTTACTGATATGACACCAATTTTTGTTCACCTACCGGCAGCGGACTTTCTTTTTAGTAGTCAAGAACAGTTAGTCTTTGTTGCTCTATGAGCGATTCTTTTCGTTGTATTTTAATCTTCATTTCGAAAAAGTGTCTCTTAATTTCCTGAAAAATGGTTCCTATTTACCACTGGTTGCCCGTTTGCCGCTGTAAAATCGTTTGACAATACTTGATCGATCTAGCCGATTTTCGATACCTTCGTTTATACAATAGTGTGTTTCTGGTTGATCTTCAACTCCGGTCCCAGTTTCGGATTTTCTTTCTCACCAGTTTTATGAGGGGTACTGATGCCATTGCAGTTTCAGTAGCTGGTTCCAATACGTTGAGTGATTGATCATTGTGCTTAGATAACTTCCAAATTTCCAATTCATGCGTTAGGAGAAGTAAAATCACAGAACCGCGGGGTGGCACGTAGTTGGGTGTTCTTTTTCTATCTTATTACGACCACTATGCCCTTGTCACTTTTCCAAGAACTGTGCTTAGAATGATCTTATTCATGTCATGTGGACTTCTCGAAAGAGAGAAACAGTTCCGTCGAAATCGATCGTAGCAAGCTTTTTATGGTTAGTACTTGTTGGTATTTAAAAGAGCGACGTCTTCAGTGAAGCAAAGATGGCGTGCACACCCCCACTGACTTTCACTCCCTCGTTAACATATTCCAGTTCTCGCATGACGTTCTTCAGTGTGACGACAAGTATTTTGACGAAACGGCACCGAGGTTCTTTTTACTTTTGTGGTAATGCTTTGGTGAAAATCTGGTTTTGAAGTTGTTATATAGTCATGAAAGGATTCTCTTGCTGTGTTAAGACGTAGTACTACGTACTACTACGAGTTCTCGCAACAGCTTCTGTCTGAGTCGAAGAGCTTTTTGTATCGATAAAAATGAGGTAACCCGATCTCCTCTACTCTTAAAATATTTTTTCGGTATTATTCATTGTTGCGTTAATGTGATTTATTGTAATAAATAATTTTCGAGATTTTTGCCTTGTTCTAATTCGTATAAACTTTTAATCCAAGTAGTTGATTTCGAAGTGAGCGAACGGTTTGTACTCAATAAACGAATGTTTTCCGGTAGCACATAAGTCACTCTTTTTGTTCAAAACTCGTCTTGCAAATTTCCTCTTTCTTTGGCATTTTGATAAAAGGTAATGGGTGAAAAGTGAAGTGATTGTGTTGATCACAACTCGCGAGGCTTTTCAGATTTTGGCATTGAACGCCTAGAGCTGGCATTGGTGGTGAAGCTCGTGAACTAGATAAAGGAATGATCCCCTCTATTGAATTTCTCTAGGTCCTTGTCGAACGTTTCAACCTTCTCCTTGTTATAGGTTGATTTCTGGCAAACGACGATACTTTTCAGACATGGAGCTGGTCCACATTTTCCTAGCCGCGGGAGTCCGATCCGTGCTCTCAAGTGTTCAAAAGTAATGATGTTTATGAGCATGTTCAAATTCACGAAAACACCAACATCGCCAACTCCGTCACCCGGATATTACCAAGATGCGATTCTTCCCCGATATCATAAAGAAAACCTAATGCTAGCATCTTCTTCTTTTACCCAGTAGACCAATGTCGAATATAGACATTTATCACGCAGTATGAGGTTCTTAATAGATGGCTCAAATGTTAGTGGTGGTGTGCACTAAGTATTAAGCGCCAAACATAGGTGACCTATAACGGTCCTGAGATTTCACCACCTTTTCCATATGCATTTAGTCAAGTGCTGTCTTATTGGAGAAAGAGTCAAAGCAATAAAACTCTTTACCTTTAATGTAGCGCCTACAAAAGGCTTGCAGACTTTTGAATTGGGAGCTGAGTATAATTACTGCACCTCCCTGGCTTCATCGCAGTGGAGAACACGTTCATTTATTGGAGACTACTCCAAGTCATCTTCCCTGTATTTCACATTCGGTTGAATCCAATTTTTAGCCAAATCGACATGCAATAGAAAATTCGAATATATATATATATATATATATATATATATACGTACAGCGTTTTGAAGTAGTGCTATTGTAAACCGACTTTCCATTAACCTCGACATGAACGCTCAATGTACCTAAGCTAACATAAAACGAGGTAAGTTATGTCATTAAAGGGTGACTAAAAAAAGTGGTCTTGATTTGTGGTGGTTATTGACCTCCACCCAGTACCCAACGCCGTCGATTAGTTCGCAACCACCTCTATGATCGCTTGTGCAGCTCAAAAATTGCGCAATCCGTTTTAGCGAGGAAACAGCGATTGCACGAGCACAGGCTACGATATGCTTAATCTCATACAAGGCATTGGGTGAAGAATATATTGGTTAGGCGAGTAAACCAATGCTTCGCCATGTAAAAATTCTCCTGAACCGAAAAGCTGAAATTCGACAAAGTGCTCCCCTAGGTTTACGTAGGGCACAAAAACACAATGATGATAATGTTAACCTTTTATTTGCTGCCTACTACAATTTCTCACTGCTGAGCATTATGCGAAAAACAACTATAATGATGCTGAGACTTTCGCGAAACTTGAAAGCCGGGCCAGATCGAACCACGATTGCCCTTTTTCGGGATTCGCATATTACACACTGTACCACTGCGGTCCCTGATTTTCGTTCCTTTCAGCTGGTTTCTGCCTAACGCTGTCATCAGCAATCACCCGTACCACCACATCATACGGGTCCATCGTTTCGCCTGTCTCTCAACTAGTTCTATCGATCAGGCCATCAGCAATCACTCGTCAACGGGATTGATCTAGGGAGCACAAATTGGCATTGAACGCAGTTAAGCTAAGGCTGTCGTCGGAAACACAATGTTAACCTTTTATTTACTGCTTAGTAAAATTTTTCATTGCAGGGTATAATGTGAAGTACAACTAGAATGAAGCAATGGTCATAGTTTTGAAGTAATTGCCGGATCATAGCGCACGAATAAAAACCATCAAAGTGCAAGATTCCTGAGCTATTTTAAATAAATTTCAAAAGCCCAAAGATGAACCCGAAAGACGAGCGCCTCACTATCGTACATAACCTTGCACCTTAGTTCAAATTAATTTTCTGACCTGGGTGGATCTCATTCGTAATCAACGTGAGCAACACTTAGGTGTCTCACTTGCAACAGCGCTGTGAGTAGTTCTTGAACAAAATGACGCTTATCGATATTTGAAATCTAGATTATTCATGAAATTATAAGCCTACTGTTACATATAACACGTGAAGAAGGCGAAGCCATCAAAACGTCAGCCATCGAACAACAACG